CACGAGCATTATATATACACCCTCATTTCCCCTAGATAGTTACACTCTCTTCGTAGCCAACTCATGTTAACTATTGGACTTATAGTTCTTAGTGACAAGTGACTTCTCATACCTCGTGTTCTTCCCAACCAGTTCATACTATTCAGATTGTTACTAGGAACCCTAACCCAGTTAGGCCCCAGTAGGATCTCTAACAATAGTTTAAGAAGAGAATTACGAATTCCATAACTTTTAGCGTCGTCTATCTAATTTCTAAGTGTTTTATTAGTTCTATTCTATTTCTCGATGCTATCGCTATGTTAAGTGTTCGTAGCCCTAGCCGCTACCTCTCTAAGTGGTGTTAGTGGTGGTGGTGTTGTCTTATCAGTATTAACCAGAAACGCGTTCTCGATTCCCGATCTGCTGGACAGGCCTCTGTACGTTATTGTACGTGCACGCCGAACCTTAAAGTGCTCTATTACACTAGATAAAAGAATAAACCTCTTTAATACTTACACGAGTAAGACGGTTACTTTTAGGCCTTTAATAGTGAATGAAAGTGTCCATAGACCGTGGATCTAAGTGATCTATCGAGAGAAACCTAGAATAAAGTATGTACAGTGCACTCTTATTTCTCCGACTCTAAGTTCTAAATCCTAGTGGGCTTCTATTAGCCGAGACTTTTGTTAAGGGCACTGTCTTAAGATAAAGTATTTAGTAGCTGTAGTCATGCGGTAAGGTTTTTCTACCTCTTAAGATACTCTACGGTCTCTTATAAAAGTAATATTACATTTGAGACACCTAATTAATTCTGAGTCCTCCTAACACATACACCATGAGCGGCATTAGCGATCATGAGTTTCTGGCCTATATGAGTGGACGCAGTGGGAACCAGCGAAAGGAGACGAATGACATCTTTAAGTACATGTGATCGTCAGCTTGGCCCGGCTAAATGAGGTGTTCCAGTGGTGTTTTAGAGCGAATGAGCATACCACACGAACATCGGCGATAAAACACCACTCACCCCTAAGCCGTATCAAAGAACGCCGATATCCACGCCGAAAGCGCTGACCTGGAAGGTCAACTAAAAGTAGATGAATGTAATGCAAATCAGCAGCAATAGACCGGTGTCGAGTTTGAGGGAGTGTTTCGCGAAAGCCGCGAGCCTTATCAAATGCAGCTGCCCACCGATTATCTTGTCGGAAAATCTGGTTCGTATCTTGCTTATTGTGTATCAATGCGATATAGCATGCCTGGGCGTGGTGGAAAGTCGTCCTCGGTAGCCTTGATTCGCCGGTAAACAGTTATACCTGCATGCTCGGAAGGCATAGTCCAAAGAAAGGGGTACCATAGCCTGCTTTAGGACTCAACTGAACTGATGTCCGCTTGTTGTGGAGTTTAATAATTTCTTCTCGGAGTTTTTCTGTAGTTTTCACCGCCTTGTCCATCATAAGAGGTAATTTATTGCCCTCAGAATGCCATCTTCTAATATTGTTTTCTTCTCTCTGTAGTTTCCTCCTTTTAACAGCGATTTGCTGGCATACCTTGCAGTAACCAATGACTTTTGTCAGATTGTTATGGTCGAGAAGAGTCGCGGGACAAGTCTCCCCGATGCGTTTCTGTCGATCACAACGATCTTTCATATTCCCCCATCGGAAATCGCCGCATTGAAAGTCAGTTCTTTCATAGTGGCACATTTCGCTATGCAAAAGCCTAGCTAGCCAATATGCTTGGGGGTATCTGCAGAGTCTTGAATGTGCGGTTAGGATAATCCAATCGTCACAGATTCAGGTCATGAAAATGATCTTGGGTTTCCAGCTTCAATGAAGGCTCAATTCATAGGGAGAGCTAACAGGAGTGTGGGAGATGAGACAACCCGAGATTGAAAGTGGGCGATGACACGAAATAAGGCCCAAGGCCACCATTGTGACCTCTTCATCTCACCCAGTAATGGATGGGCCATATCGCATGGTCGTGCATACAGCAGCTTCGGGCTGCTCGTTCATGGTCTTAGTTATGGTTGCTGTGGGCTTCGAGGTTATTGGAGGCGAGCTGCTGCATCTCTCCTCGCATACACAGAGCCAAAAAAATTCATCTGCATTCCTTGTATTTGCAACTGGAGGATTGGGGCAATTTGTTCGGTCCATGCAACTGGTGCAGCAGAAGCAACTCACGGCACTCGCTAGGCTTGCCGTTGACCCAATCGTAGGAACAAGGAATGTCCTTTGCGCTGAAAGTTTTTCGGGAGCTCTGTCCGGACGCCTCTCAACGAATTGCAAAGTGGAGTACTTAAGACCGAAAGTTGGACCTGGTGTACTAGTGAGCTGGATAGTGCAGGGCTCCCCCCAACTCGAGTGCCCTTTACCTCCTACTGATATGCTCAGACCCGCGCTGGTTTATCCTTCACTCATAAAACAGAGCAGTCGACTATAGACAGGACTAATCGCATTTTGTCTACCGTGAGTCAAGGTAGGCCGAAGGTAGAAGGGGGAGCTTAGACACAATAGAGCAGTCTAGAGTAGCTGAAACTATCGCGGTGATCTGTTTCTATCTGGTCCGCTAAGCTTGCGCCCCCCTCAGCGCTGGAGGCAAATGCGGGGAATCTGGAACCATGCAGAGGACCAGAACTTGTCGCAGAAACCCTTCAGCTGTGCTTGCTCGTTCTGTCTAACCACGGCGACACGTGATGGGTGGATGACTGTGTTAACTTGTTCATGGCCGCTGACAGTTGTCACAGCGCACAGCGCACAGCGTACTCTGTAGCAGTGTCAAAGACTGACCAGAAGATCCAAAATTAATCAATTCGCACCCATTAGTCGTCAGACCTGTTCTACTGGTCGATTATACCGACAAGTTCGGGGCTCACCACCAGATTGCCATGGCTGTTCACTGAGTAGATCTACAATGCGTTAATGCCCCGGCCACCGCTCTCATTGCTCAAGGATCTACCCTTACATCGCCGACGTTGAACATGGTAAAGTCGACGGTGGCATAAAATCGGGTATACTGAGCACGCTGCTATCATTTAGAGCATAAGTAATTATGTAATATAGAGCTCCTAATTGAATGTTGTAGCACTTATTACTCCCCTCAAAGAGATCATAATTAATTGAAACTTAGCTATAGCCCCGTGCTGCTAAAGGTGACTTATCCGTCTACGTCCAAGGAAGAGCTTAGGCCTAGGGGCCTAGTATTAGCGCCTCGCAGTACGCCATAATTATAAGTACCTAGAAATGAGGGCTACCTAGTGATGTGCAAGCGCCTAAAAGTAGAGCAGCTAAATGTCCTTAGTGCCCGCCTAGGTACCTAGAAGTGCTTGCTACAAGTGCCCATCTGTACGCTCACTCGTTTCGCTGGCGGCGTGAGCTTGATCGTATTACCTCAACGTCTAACCATGATCGGAACTTCCAATCTCTTCTATTATTACAGTATTCTTTGTCCTCTGATTCATCATAATATCTGAGAAGTCATGCCATCTTTTCACCCTTCTATTAGATGCCGCGCATAGATACAAACCCCAACGCGATGTGTACGATGTGCATCATCAAACGCCCGCGCAACTCATACCGCTGAACAGCTTAAGAAAGGCAAAGATCCGATCAACACGCAGGATATGGGCATTCAGCAATACCATCCACCGTAGCCAGCTTACGCAACTCGTTAAGTTTTCAACTTCCCTCGTCCAATGGCATGCTAGCTCAATTAACGGCTTAGACTCTCTTTTGGATGGTTGTACCTCGTAGAAAGTCTGGTAGTGGCCACACGCTCGGCACCAAATCGAGTTTGTGAGAGACTAAGTAGGATAAAGACCCCTTCGTGGAACTTCGTGCACCCCCGCCTTGGCGCTAATTAGGAATACCACTAGGAACTTTTCCGATATTGAATATATTAGTACACCGGCATCTCGGCCGAACCGAAGCGGTCTTTAGCCGTCCTGCTCTATCCTGTTCCGCCGATTCTCTGTGCGCCCTTCACAATGGAGAAAACGCAGAACGCAAGTCTTGCTGGCGGGAGAGATGACCAGGATCCTCGATCTCCGGAAACAATCGACGACAGTACCTATGGACAGCGGAGACAATCTTCTTGGGACGGTCGTCGCGCATCTCGAAAGAGGGTACGTCTGGCCTGTGAAGCTTGTCGGGTGCGCAAGAGTCGCTGCGATGGCTCCAAACCGCCCTGCGGTGGATGTCGAGATCGTCGGACCGATTGTTTATATATACCATGGAGAGCTCGTGCGAGTGTTGCCAAAGAGTAAGTACTGACCTGCTTAGACTGTGAGAGGGATGCAAGGTTGCCCTGCAGGCCGTCCCTCTAGAGGTTTGCATCAATCATGATAATGATGGCTGATCGATTTCTATATATAAAAGATATATCGAACACCTTGAGGGCAGAAATCGCGACCTAGAGCGCAACTTACAGTCATTTCTTGAAAGCCAGCGTTCAACCCAAGGTGCGAACCAGAATATTTTCAATCTGACGGGTGAATCGCTCTCGGCCGCGTCTGTGAACCGTCCAGCATTTTCTCGCCACAGCTCTACGACATTTCCCAGAGAGCATGAAGCGAATCAACCAGTACAGAATCCGGTTCCGCCTCAACCCATAGGAAGCGGTGATTCTGTCTCTGCGGCGGCAGTCGTGGCGGACAATAACTCCCCTCGGAGCGCCGAAGCTGCTATCGTCTTGCCTAATCCAACGTTACTGAATCAAACTGCGCATGACACTCTGGAATCCAACCCGCCAAATGGCTGGGTTGAAAATGATGACAGTGGAAATGTGAGCGATGAAGCTAAAGACGAAAGAGATCAGGGAGATTCCGGATCGACTACTCATCCAGGATATTTCGGGGAATCGTCAATGGTGGCATTCATGTCCACTGTCCGATCAAACGAGTCCGGAAACCGTCCCTCGCCTTCCGTGCGGTCCTTTAGACCGTCAGACAGTAGCCCACCAGTCTCATCGGTGCAACGTCTAGAGAGGTATACCCATGGAACAGATCTGGACGACTGTCTCGCGCTTCCTCAACGACACGTTGCCGATCGTCTGGTCAACGCATATTTTACATATATCGACAGCATCTTACCCTTTATTCACGAGCCCAGCTTCAGGGTCAAATATGAGCGCACTTGGCAACCTTTAGGAGATAACGGGGGACCAGAGGAGGCGCAAGATCTATCATGGCTGGCCTTGCTCAATTTGGTATTTGCGTTCGGCTGTGAATATGCTGACAGCAACCCCCGCGGCCATGGCTGCCTATCCAGCTCGCGATTCTTCAGACGATCAACGACGATTCTGTTCTCCCAAGTCTTCCATTCTGCGAACCTCGAAACCATCCAGACCCTCCTTCTTACAAGCCACTACCTACAGGGTACAAACAACCTCAACAAATGCTGGAGTGTGGTGGGCCTTTGTATCCGCTTGGCACATGGGATGGGTCTACATCTAGATCCATCACGGTGGCATATTAGTCATGTCGAGCAAGAGTTCCGCCGACGAATCTGGTGGGGTTGCTACGTGGTTGACTGCATGTTGAGTCTCCGGTATGGTCGACCTCCATCGGATTTAGACAAAACATCGGATGTGCGGCTACCACAGTTAATTGACGGAGAGTACCTGCGAGACAATGCTGCGGATTCTCGTCAGCCTAATGGACAGCCCGCCCGCTGTCACAGTTTGCTGGCCGATATTAGCCTTTCACGCAACATAGCAGCCATCGTGCGAGAACTCTACCTCGATCCCTATCCAAGCAACGGCACTCACATTGTGGATAATGGCGGTGATAATTCGAACAAACTCCGCTCTGATGGAAGATTCCTATCAACAGTAGTCCGCTTGGATTGCGGCCTGGTTGACTGGCATCAAACATTACCCACTCATTTACGACCCGATGCAAATAACTCTGACTGGAAGCTCCAGAGACAAGCCAACGTTCTTTACACCAAGTACGTCACCATCCGAGTAATGTTACATCGCAAATCCTTTGTGGCTTTCCGACGCAATCGGCCCGAGGAGAACTTCCAAAAAGCCCTGATTATCTCTAGTGTCCGGCAATGTATGGACAACGCCCGAGAGCTGATTAATTTCCTCGACGGTCTGCACAAAAAGAAGACGGTTAATATGTGGTGGACTGATGCACAATGTGGGTAGGAACTATTATTCCTTTCTCCTACATTTTTCTATTTCTTCTTTCGTAGGTTTTTGACACTATGTTCTGGACTAACATAAGCAAAGATCTTTATATGTCGGTCGCCGCCCTTGTCGGTTACAGAGCGATGGAGAAGGATAGACAGATTGCTATCTCTGGCTCCGATACTCCAGACTCCGAGGATAAAAGTATTAGCCTAGGCATTAGTCTCCTCCGAGAGATTGGGAAGAGAAGCTCAATGATCCACCGGTACGCCGAGAATCTACAACAACTTTTCCAAGACACCATTGCCCAAGAAAGATATGGAACAGTCATGTCGCGGCGCTCTCAAGACGGAGGCGGTATCCTCACGGCTGAAGCCCCTGCAGCCAGCACTGCTTCTTCTCGTAGCCAAAAGTCGTCACGTTCGAGCAGAAATCAAGGAGGCCAAGGCGCACTCAACGGCCTCCGATCGTTCTACATGGGACTTTCCGGCAACGGAGTAGAAGGAGGCGCTCGCAGTACGCCGAACGCCGGAGCCCCCACTTCCATGTTTGAAATGCCACTCCAGGGAGATCTGTTCTTTATGGAAGGACTCGACGGGTTTGGCGATCAACCACTGGGTTCCTTTGGTGTCGAATATTCTGTCATGGGACAGTCGTATCTAACATCAGACGCTTTCAATGATGGGGGCTTAGGCTCATTGGACATGGGTTATGACACCTTTCGCAAGGGCTGACTAGGTCACTGGACCGGCGGTCCACCATGTGGAATTTAGGCACAACACATTGTCTTTCACTCCCGACTCAACACTCTTCGAGTTTCTCGAACTTTCATATCGAGTATATTCAGTGCGACATGGGGGCCCTGGATGTTTAATTGTGGCCTATATTTAATGTTAATGTACAGCTTTGCAAAATATACACCTAGAACTCCTGTTGCTTGTTTACCTCTTCCGACTGAAGGCATGTGTTGATTAATATGACGTCGATCCATTTCCCCAACGGACAACTTCGAAATTAAAACAGCACAAGAAGGCTCTTAACTTCTCAAGAACGGGTCGCTCCTGGTTCAAATTGTGATATATTTACTCATATATCTATATAGAGCTATGCAAAATCCTTGCTCTCTAGCAAAACAGATTGAATATAACTTCAGGGAGGCCAGCCATGAGGACATAGGCATTTCTCACCTTGCCTTCTCTAAGGCATTAGAATAACCATCTGGCAGAATCCCAATATCCATGACGACTGAATGGCCTTCCTGGGCCAACTTGACGGCTTTGGCCATCATTTGAGGCAGATCTTTGCGGTCCGTCACACACGGGCCTGGGACGGTCAAACCCAACGCCTTGGAAAATGTATTGAGATCGGGGATAGGATCCGTGATCTGCTGGCCAATCCCCTTGTTCTCCCATGGTCGACCACGAGCTCGAGCAACACGTTCTTGGTGCACTTCGTCGTTGTAAAAGCTACGGTTATTGGCAACAAGAATAAGACATGGGAGGCGGCAGTGAGCAGCCGTCCACAGAGCATTGCCACCCATGAGGAAATCGCCATCACCAAGGATAGAGACAGCAAGGATTTTGGAATCTTTTAGGGCCAAAGCAGAGCCAACCGTTTGGCCTGGTCCTGATCCGATGCCGGCACCCCCGTCCAACCCGAGGAATGACAAGGGTCCCGTGGCATTGAGATCGTAGCCCCGCCATCCATAGGGCAATCTGATCAAGCAGTATTCTTGATTCGCGTTTCCGAGAGCCTCAAAGAGATTAGCCGCCAGATGACCCATGAGAATCTTATCCGCCGGGACATCGGGCATGCTCGGTGGTGGTAACCTCTTGGTAGCCTCGACACCGCTCCAGTCCTTGGGATGTACGTTGGCGGACTTGACGCCAGCAAGCAAAGCAGTCAGAGTCTTGTCCGGGTCGGCAAACACGGCTACGTCTGTTGGAGGCACGCCAAAATGATCCTTGCACCAGCCATTGAAAAGAATGGAATCCATGGAGATATGCACCACTTTTGTGTCCTGCAGGGATGCCTCTGCTGCCTTCAGCGTGCCTGCAAGATCCACCCAGTCGAACGAGACGAGTAAATCGGCCGCGTTGATGAGATCAATACTTTGAGGAGTTGTGAAAACAGCCGGAGCCGCGGGATGCAGAGAATGGCGGGATGGGAATGCCGCTCCTTGTTTGAGATCGGTCATGACATAGGCCCCGACCGTCTCTGCCAGTTCGACACGCTCGTTCCATGAAGTTTGCGAGCGGTTCACTCGGCCAAACATGAAGAGTGGCCGTCTAGACTCCCCCAACAAGGCGACCACTTTGTCAACCACTGATGGATCCGGCCCCTGCGGTGGGAGCGGCTTCATACGTTCAAGATCTGGGAACTCCAGCTTAGAGGCGTCGAACTTGTCTTCTTGCAGACAAACATCGAGACAAAGGTAGCTGGGAGCGCATGGCTTGGTCGCCGACACTTGATAACACCTCGCCAAGGCCTTGGTGGCTGCATTGACTGAATATGGCTGGTCGTCGAACTTGAGACTCGGTCTGACAATGGCTGCTTGATCTGTACAGGTGTGAATCCAGTCGATCCAAGGCCGTTTCCTTTCAGAGTCCAGGGGTCCGGTCGCTCCCAGAACCACGACAGGGACACGGTCACAGAAGGCATTGTAAATAGCCATCGAAGCGTGCTGAAGTCCGACGTTGGCATGTACGGCGGCCAAGATCGGCTTCTCTGTGACTTTGGCATACCCATGGGCTACTGCCACCGTGTGTTCTTCATGCAGACAGACAATCATCTGGGGGGTATTGCCGTTATAGTTGACCAGGCTGTCGTGAAGCCCTCGATAACTTGACCCTGGAGACAGTGCGATGTATGGGATGTCCAATCGTGCAATTTGTTCGGCAATTGCATCGCTGCCCCAGCCTATCGCACGTGTTTTCTCGTCAAGGCCGACAGGTTCGTCAATGGCAATCGGGCGTTTCCTCTTGGTTACGACGCCATTTATGCCACTGGTACTGTTGGCACCGTTGATAATGCTCTCCAGAGCAATTTCACCCATTTTTACACAGGTATTCTGTTCTGTATCTAGATCCAAATGGCAAGGCCTTGGTCTCAGGGTACATGGGAAAGGATAGCTTGGACCAAGAAGACGATGCAAATATCTGGACAATTTATCCTAGATTCTTTGCCTCTGACGAACGCCTCAGGTAATTTAGCTCGCGTGAACACCTGCGAGCTGCGATGTCGCCTGTCGCCCGACCCATTGTCGGAATTCATCCAGGATGCGGCCTTCGAAATGCAGGGACAAGTGAAGGGCTCACAAGCAAGGCGGAAAAGGAGAGCTTCGGATTGGCGCCCGGGACATGTCCCGAAGGAAGCACTGAGAGGCGACTAGTTTCACTAGTCTAGGCTTTAGAATAGTCCCAGGCAAGGCACACATACGCAGTAGAGATTGTTCTCTCTCCACTCCCCGTAGAATCTAGCGCATAACACATTGTCGTCCTACAGCTTTGATTTGGACCACGTACTGTTGGAGGAAGGTCTAAGATGGTAATTTAATTAATTAACAGAGGAAATCTTTTGTCGTGACAAGCCATGCGATCGGCTGACCTACTTCACAAAGCTAGGGCTGTCGGTCTTTCTCCGCTATCTCCGTCGTCTCCCTACATACCATGTTGCAGCACGAACACTTCTTAGACCCTATGTGCCGAGCAGACAGAAGATTTCTAGATATCCATAGCGGCTGTACGGGGTGCATGGCGGTATGCATGGATCAACATTACGGATCGTCACCCGCGGGACAAACACCGTCGAGCACCGTTGTAAATGTAAAAAGCAAAAAATATCAACCGCGTCCTCCCAAAAGCCCTTGACCGCAAAGCTGTAAATGTCACATTCGATGTTGAGAAACTCCACGGTCTGGAAAAGGTCGCTTCATTGGAAAGGTTGTCATCGATCCTTGCTGCCGAAACGTCTTCACACAATGGCTGATCTTCCTGAACACCTTGCCAAAGTGCTGCCTCAACAACGTGATCTATTCTACGCGGGAAAGTTCCAGGCGCCCGAGTCGCCCAAGAACTATGTTGAAACGTACAATCCAGCCACCGGCAAGGCCATCACTAAAGTTGCGCAGGCAACTGCGACCGACACCGAGGCAGCCATCAAAGCGGCGCACGAAGCCTTTCCCGCGTGGCGCGATACTCGCCCTGAAAAGAGGCGAGAATACCTACAGAAAGCCGCCGCTATCGTGCGGATGCACGCACGACAGCTTGCCTTGATTGATTCCATTAACACGGGGAATCCTTTCAAGGAGATGATACCAGATGCAATTACCGCCGCCGACGCTTTAGACTACTTTGCCGGACTGATTCCCATGGTTAAAGGTGAGACTGTGCCAATGGGGCCCGAAGGGTTCCATTATACTTTGCGAGAACCGTTGGGTGTCGTGGCGAGGATCGTTGCATACAATCATCCGATCATGTTCTGTGCGCAGAAAATGGCCGCTCCCTTGGCAGCAGGAAACACGGTCATAATGAAGCCCGCCGAACAAGCACCGCTCTCTGCTCTATATCTAGCGGAACTTCTCCATGGCGTTTTCCCACCAGGTGTGGTCTCGATTGTTAACGGCGGTGTTGACAGTGGAGTCACATTGTCAACCCACCCGCTGGTGAAAATGATTACGCTCATTGGCAGCGTGCCCACCGGCAAGGCTATCTACAAGAGTGCCTCGAGCACGTTAAAACCTCTGCTTTTTGAACTTGGCGGCAAGAATGCCCTTGTTGCCTATCCGGACGCCGACCTTGATAAACTTGTCGACGGTATCACTCGAGGAATGAACTATCTGTGGGCCGGTCAGTCTTGTGGCTCTACATCTCGTGTGTTCCTTCACGAGTCCCTTCATGACGAAGTTCTGGAGCGCGTCGTTCAAAGAGTTAAGCAATCATTTGTTCCTGGCGACCCCACCGATGAGAAAACCACCATGGGTCCATTGATTTCTCCAGCAGCGCTGGAACGTGTCAAAGGATTCTGCAGGGATGCTGTTGCCGAAGGCGCCCGGCTCGTCCTCGGAGGCAAGCAGCCGGAGCAGATGAAAGAGGGGAATTTCTTTGAACCGACAATCTTCGCGGACGTGACACCTGAGATGCGGATTGCCAAAGAAGAAGTTTTCGGTCCTATTCAGAGTATCTTCAAGTGGAAGGACGAGGAGGACATGTGGAAGATTGTGAACAGCACAAACTATGGCCTCACAGGGGCCGTGTACACGAGCGACCTCAAGACCGCACAAAAAGCGGTGAGTAGGTTTGAGACGGGTTATGTCTGGGTGAACAACGTGGCAAAACATTATCTGAACATGCCTTTCGGAGGACAGAAGAACTCTGGTCTAGGAAGAGAGGAGTGCTTCGACGAATTGATCGCCTTCACTCAACAGAAAGCTGTCAATATGTCATTGGCCTGATTGCCCATCATCCATCATATTGGGAAAGAGAGACGAGGCTCCGAGATCTCACGACATAACTCATCATTGGTGTAACCTGAAAATTTCGAGTGATAGTGTTTATATATTTTTGTTTATTGAGCTGTCCTCCTTTTCTTCTTTACCCGTATTTTTGTGTCATGTATTCGAGAGGCCACGACAGTGGCCGTTATAGCTTCCTTCAGAGAAAAGGGGGGACCAAAGGAAATGATTAGACTGTATGGAACTAGAACAAGATCAGCAATAAAACAATTCCCCAAATCCTCTTTCGATATTATCAGTCTTGATTCCCAAATAAATCTGCTCGAGCACCTGACCGATCAGCGACATAGTGATAGAGCCATGCCCACGAAGCGCCTGCTCTCCCATTCCAGAGAGTCCACCTACCAAATGAGTGGATATCCTTATGGTATAATCTTGCACAAACTCCCTTAGTAATCGAAGCCTTAGCTGGGTTGCCGAGTTCCCGTATAGCCGAAGAGGAGGAGAATAAAGCTGGCCGGAAAGTGAACCTTAAATACTCGTCTCAAGGATTTGGGTCACCCCATCATCACATTCTCTGCGGGGAAAAGTATCGAGTAGGCTCTTCTGCCGGAGCGACATCGGGCGCCGCGTCTTTGCCCCTTGTTCCACGTGGCTTCCATGATCATCACCAAAGCCCCTGCTGTCGAGATCCGGACGATTATGAACCCATTCATCCAGTGGACATTGTCGAGGCTGTCTATATCATGTCTTTCTGAAGAGGCGAGCTGTTGACAGGTCGCGAGATCGCCACTGTGGCAAACCACCTGAGACGCTAGGCGTTTCACCAACTGCGGAATCTACCTCAACCTCGTTGTTCTCGCAGACCTGTGATAGGATTGCGACGGAATAGGAGGTTTCAGGAATGGCCTTCAGATCACAGGCCAAAGTGTATATAAACAGGCAGAGTCTCTCTGAATAGGCAGAGGGACAAGACACAATCAAGCAGATAGATCCACTCTCATTCTGTATATAACACGAGTTCTCCCATGCCCGACCAAGTTCGTTCCTCTATTAATCGACCATGTTCGCCACCTGGAGGCTTTTTCCTGATTCCGTCCTACCTGGAACTATCCCCCTTCCCTAGTTACATGCCAATGGTTGCATCAAACGGACAAATTCAAGTAGTTTGGACAATGTTTAGTCAATTCGCTTATTCCGAATTCGTGAATCACTTTCAGAGGGACTTGCAGGAGAACTATCCGACTAATGGGCCCTTGCCCGACGCATCGGCTGTTTTCCATAATGGAGGGTCAGGAGATTTCTGGTTCGGACGGCGCCCATGCCTCTTGATAAGGCTAGAGAACACAGAAAAGTGAGTATCACACATGTTTCCGGCCCGCATCATTTTCCAGAGGAGTCATCGGATGGAAGAAAATGCGGGGCGCTATCCTATCTCTGCTGGAAGATGAGGAGTAGGAGAGGTTTGCAGAAAGCCTTGAATCATAATCAATTCCGTGTGTTCATCAATATAATGAAAGGAAACCCGTGACACTAGTGCCAATATCGCCTTAGAAGCTGACTTGGCGAGACTCGGCCGTATGCGGGTGCACAGGCGCCGGAATAGGTGCCAGAGCTGGCTGCCTAGGCTGGTGAGCCGTGACTGAGGGCAAAGGGACACCCCGGATTTATAGGAGGTGGTTTTGGCGGTTCAAGTAAGGGTCAAGGGATTGCTGGGCTGGCTCAAAGGTGGTCTAAGTGGTCTAAGCACCCACAAGTGGGTTGTGCTTCCGCTCTGGGGTCCCCGCAAACGGGGGCGCCGGCGGTGGTGGTCGATGCTCTCATTCCCGCTATCCTCAAGGCCAAAATACCCAATCTAGCTCTTGTCTCGGCCTGGGTCGCGGTTCGTAGCTTGCGCAGTCGCTTCGTTCATTATAAGAAGGCACAATATTTCTGACCAGCTTATCATATATTCCGGCGCCCTCTCCACCCTTTCATACTCTCGGGTGTAGATATTGGTTGAGCAATCCAGACAACCCCTGAGTTTCCAGGGCTCTTTTCACCGAGACTTGGACTGCAATCATACCACGGTAGCATAGGAGGAAAGATATGACCATGTGGAATCCACTTGGCAAAGTTGAGGGAAGGCCCTTGCTCCTTCTCATCACGATGGCCGCCTCTTCAGGTTTCATCTTGGTAAGGCTATCGTACCCCTACATGTGGACCGGTGAAGCCCATATATAATCAATGACTAACATGGTTCTCGGTCGCAGTTTGGCTATGACAACGCCATCTTTGGAGGCATCCTTGTGTTGCCCTGGTTCCTGGAAACGTATAACCATCCTGGCTCCGACATTCTTGGGACAGTCAGCTCCCTCTACAATGTGGGATGTGCAGCTGGTTCCATCCTGGCCTTCTTCTTGGGAGGACAACTTGGCCGCAAGAAGAGTATTCTGTATGGCAGCGCCATTGCTGCTGTAGGAGTGGTGATTCAATGCACGGCCGAAAAGCTCTCTCAGCTGCTCGTCGGCCGCATTGTCACAGGCGTGGGTGTCGGCATTTTGACCTCTACTGTCGGCTTGTGGCAAGCAGAAACGACGCCCCCGAGGATTCGGGGCATGTTCATGTGCCTTGAACTCATGCTTGGAGGATGTGGACTTGTGATTGCCTTCTATACGAACTATGGCTTCCATAGTGACACCTCTCGTACCGCCTTCGTCTTCCCTTTGGCGCTTCAGACTGTCTTCATTGCCATCATTGGCATCCTGGTCGCAATGCTCCCAGAGTCTCCCTACTGGCTTTTAAAGAATGATCGCCCCGAGGAGGCCCTGAAGGTTATCCTGCGCCTCGAGGGCCACGGTGCCACTCGAGATCACCCGCGAGTTAGGCAACAACTCCTTGAGATCTCCGAAGCAAGACAGCTGGAAGGAACCGAGGGTGGCTTCTTCAGTGGTGTCTTTGTTAATGGTCCGACCCAAAACTTCAAGCGCATTTGCTTCGGAACCGGAATCATGATCATGCATCAACTGAATGGCATCAACAGTGTCACATACTATGTCCCCACTTTGGTGACTACCTTCATCCATGCGTCCCATTCGACCGCCCTCTGGGTCAGCGGTCTCTTTGGCGTGGTCTGCGTCGTCTTCTGCATTTTTCCCGTCTTGTGGGTCGACAAGGTGGGTAGACGACCATTCCTTTGGGCTGGCAGTGCGGGCCAATGTATCTGCTTTGCCATCATTGCAGCACTTTTCGCCACCGCCCCTAAAGGAGGCAGCTCGACCTACGGCATCGTCACTCTTGTATTCCTCTTCTTATACTACGCCATCAACATCACTTCATGGTTCCCCATCACCTGGCTCTATCCAGCAGAGTTGATGCCTCTGAAAATTCGCGAGAAAGGAATGGGTATTGCCGTATTCTTCTACTGGATGTTCCAGTTTATGATTGTCGAAATCACCCCTATCGCTCTCACGAACATCGGTTATCGGTTCTACATCATTCTCTGTGTATTCAATGCCGTCATTGCAGCCATCATTTTCTTCTTGTATCCCGAGACAAAGCTGAAGTCTCTCGAAGAGATTGATTTTTTCTTCGCAAAGGCAGAAGTCCCGGTGGGTATTGACAAGACCGGAATCGAAGGCGAGATGGTACCTAAGAGAGATATGGAGATTCATTTGGAGAATGTTCACCATAACAACGGGCATACTGCATCTACTAGAAGCAACTAGTCGCCAAAAGAAGCCTGGAAGGTCACTTCCCTAACCCTAAACACACTGTTAATAGTTACTAGGCAAACCCTACGGGAAAACATTATTGACATCTTTGATCGCAAGCATGACCCGTTTTGATCTGGAAACCTAACTGCGGATCATTCATTCATCCTTCAGCCAGTTTCCTCGTATAAATACAAACCACCTAGAAATCCCACTGCTAATAGAACATAGAACGTATGTAACCTTTTCAAGTTTCACCAAGACCGGTACATCAGTCAGAGAAAAGGACAAGATATTCCAGAGCGTCATGTCATAGTGGCGGCGAGTGATTATGTCGGTAATGGTGCCCAGTTTAGATGCCGCCCCTCGCGACCTACAAATTATAGTTAGCAAGTCTCTTTAACTCAACCGCAAACATTCTCCCAGTGGAGACTTAAGCTAGGGAAGTGTCATGAAGGCCCGATAGATGGCTGGTCAGGTAGAAGCACTATGTACTTAGTTATAACATCAAATCCAGATAAGAAACGATATCCACCACAAAAGACGATAACCACAACGAGCCCGGCGCAGCAAAGAGTTTCTGGGTGCCCAATTCAGTCAGGAAACCCGAAGAGTCTGGAGGAATTACAGGAGTCCAGAGGACATATTCATATATTGGATCGATGCTAAAAGCCAGGTGAGGTATGAACCGCCTTGTTAGCCGGGCGACGCTCTTCCAGCACTGGTCTGCGACGATAACGCGGCATCAAACATCGCACGCGCTGGTTTATCGTGCAAGACATCGATCCAAGGAAATGCCTTTAGCTGTCTGTGCAGCTGACTCCAGGTATGTGCTTCGCATAACTCGATAGTGACTCGCATCCATGGCATGAGCCAAGCAGCATCCGCTGGGTTGAAGGTCGATAGAGAGCCTATCATGAGCATCCAGAGAAGAAATTGCGGCGATAGGGCGCTCGGTAAGCTGAGATTTAGGAGACAGTTTTGATAGGTATGGCGGAGGTATGCATGTGACGGTTTCACATTTTGCCAGTCAAGGAAGATATTAGACGAGAAGGCAAGGAGGCTAAGGCGGACCGCTTCATCAAGAGAGGTGGGGTCGAAGCTGTTCATCCAAATCAAGCGGTACATCAGGGCAGCCATTGCCTTTAGCAAGGTCTCCTTAGGTAGCTGACGCTTGTGCTCGGCTGCAGAGTTTATCGTTGAACAGAATCTCTTTAAAAACGTCCATGCCTGGACCAAGTCTATACTGATCCCTAACTGGACCGGCTTCCAATAACGCCTAGTTGTCGCATGGTCTGGCTCTTCCGCCGCCAACGTTGGCAAGATATACGGCATTAGAGGTTCTGAAGGGCGGTCATTGAAGAACGTTGGCTTCGTGCCATTATTAAGCGCGATTCCCAAATCACATCTAAGAAGTGGTCAGAAACAGATTCACGAGAGTGGTGATCGAGAGAGGCGTTCGAAGATACTTACTTCAGCAGCTCAATGATCAGCTTAGTGTTATAGCTGAAAGAGAATAAACCACCTCTCATATCAACAATGTTGCGCAGCCCCTCCATGTGATGTTTTGCGGTGTTGTAGTCAATCATAAAATGAGCGTGCAGGGCTAAATATAACACCACGAGCACCGTTGAATCCGAGACCTTGCTCTCTCTATTTGAAATCGATAGTCTCTCTCGAAGTAAGCGAAGAGCTGCAGAATGGTGGACGATTGCTTGTCTGGCCGCTGCAGGATTTTCCCCCGTGGATATGAGGGAAATATAGGCCTGGGACGCGAAGACTGCTGCATGCAGGTAGGCGGCATCGAAGGTCAAGAGCTCGAACCATGACGTGTCGACATTGGTCTTTCTATGGAAAACAATATACCTCTCAAGTGGGTACATTATTCTCTTCGCCATGAACGAAACTAGATATTCTCAGAATAAGAATAATGCATGCTGCGACTGTATGCATAAGCTAGATGCTTCGACTTACATTTCAAAAGGTCGTGTAGCAGCGGCGGCTCCACGGCGGCGGCAAACTGTGTGAAGGACAGCTCAGAACCAACTTTGTTTGGAATCATAGAGTAGCGCATTTTGATCAGTAGGCTTGAAGGTCCATCGTGATACCCATTGGATTTCTCAGAATAATAAGGGTTTTTCATTTTGTTAGTGTTGAGATTCCGGGTTTTGCCTCGGTTCTTTCCAAGCATGACGTATTTCCTGATGAGCTTCCGCATTGCCGGTTCTGCCTTACCACTCCCATCGGTGAAGATAAACGGTGTCTCTGCTACACGTTACCTATTAGATACACAGGTCCACTCGCTAGAACGGAGAGAATTATGTCTCGCGGCGCCGGGCCAGCGACTTACTAGTTCTTTCAGCAGGGCCCATGTTTAAGAGGTTTTCTGAAAGGTGCAAAGGCCGCTTCGATTCATTCCCACTAAAATTGCGTAGACGTTAGGTTCTTGGGAAGACTATGATAGCTCAGTGTGGTCAGATTATATCCAAGCGTCTGATCGGTGTATTTTGAATTCGAGATTGTTTACCTCGAATGTGTGGTTCAGGTATAGAAGAAAAGCGCAGGATTCGAAACGAACGTGCTTGTTAGATTTTAATATGACGCTAGCTAAGCTTGCCAAGATAACTAACTAGACGGGCGCTAATGTAAGAGATTAGCTACCATATTCGGTTTGGTTCAAGGCTTAAATACTATTATTTTATTGGCTGGCTCTCCCCTTTAGCGCCCTCAGGGTAATTTACGGAAACTTATGAAAATACGAGGTATCCAGTACCTGCCATATATATATACATACATACACCTACTCGCTTCTCTTTCTCACACGAATGTCATCTCTGCAAGATAACGAAATTCGAATTCTCGATCCCTCATCATTATCTACCTATACACTATTATCCGTGCGCCACGTTAGCACCGAATGAACCATGGTTTCCTCCAAGGAACTGCCTCCTTCCACCACCCCATTCTTCCCTAATCATTTCCTCAAGAACCAATTCCGTACTAAACCTCAGTTCCCTCCCAAGAATACTGACCTCTCCAGCAAGGTCGCCATAGTGACGGGATCCAACACTGGCCTAGGACTAGAATGTGCTAGCCAACTACTCTCCTATAAGCTCTCTCACCTCATCTTGGCTGTCCGATCTCCGACAAAGGGCGAGAATGCAGCTGTTACGCTGCGACAACAGTATCCAGGCGCCATAATCAGCGTATGGCAATTGGATATGGCCTCTTACGACTCCATTCGCGTTTTCACGGCACGGGCTGACAAAGAGCTCTCTCGCCTCGATATCGCCATCTTGAATGCCGGCGTGGGCTTTGGCGGCTTCAAGATTTCACCAGCTACCGGACATGAGGAGACCATCCAGATTAATTACCTCTCAACCATGCTTCTATCCATCCTTCTGCTCCCCATATTGAAGAATAAATCCCCGGCCGACTCACCCGGGCGATTGACTATAAGTACAGCTATGCTCTCGGTCACCGCAAGATTTATCAACAAGAACGAGGTCCCGCTTCTGCCTTCGTTTGATAATAAGAAGTACTTTGACTCCATGGATATCTACTCAACATCCAAGTTACTAGGCCAATTATTCATCTGGAAGCTCACCGACTTGGTGTCTGCCGACGACGTGGTGGTGAACCTTGTTGAGCCTGGATTTGTCAAAGGTACGGAACTTCACAGGGATACATCTGTCCCAGCAAAGGTCTTCATGAGCTTGTTCAAAGCAATATCTGGTCGAACTGTCAAAGTCGGCGCCTCAACCTATCTCGATGGCTCAATAGTGAAGGGAAAGGAGTCGCATGGGAGTGTCCTAATGAACTGGGAGATTGCACCGTAAGTTGCCGGGCTATCCTCCGATCTTTCGGATTCTCGCTGAGTTATGCAAACTTTAGGTACGCTCCATTCCAGTACACACTTGAGGGCAAGATTATCATGGAAAGACTCTGGCAAGAGACATTAAGCGAGTTCAATTTCATTGATGTCAATGGCATTCTCAAGTTCTTATGATAACACGAGACTTTGACAAGACACACTGAATGATTTCAACTTCATCGATGTCCCTCTTGGCATAAGATACGGGTGGATGGGCTTCCAGTTAAGATCTAAGAATTCTGATATTATATGAATAATTTAAGAGATCCTGGTGCAGACCAGGCGGTCCGTGCTGAGCTGGATGAGCCTCGAGAGCCGCAACCGTTGCAACTGAGCTTTCAAGGATTCGAGCTGAAAGGGCACCTTCTGATAAACCATACTACTTCACCGGCTCATACGAACCTGCAAAAGGGATGTAATGTTATCCTAATGACATACAGGCAACGACGGCCCTCCTTATACCCACGCCATTCTTGAGTACTCGCAAAGAAAGACGATGGCCTCCTAAGACTTATCTCCTTGGCTTCTAAACCCTTTCAGTTCTTAGCATTCAACTGCTCGACAATCCAAGATGGCACCTGTCCTTTAACTCCTCCAGGGTTTGAGTAGCTAAGCAAGTTGAGTGTGCTCGACTGTCATCCGCACTTTTGAAACCATGATATATACGTAGATCATTTTACACCCGATGGGTATGTCGATTCCTCATGGAGGAAAATTTAAAGAGGATATCCATTAGCTCCCTTTCGCATCAAAGTGTTACAGTGAGACATTGGTTAATATCTGAATCATCGATTTGTTGTTTTTCCTGATAGCATACTGCAATGGAGATTCGTTATTGACACTAGGCATGTCTGGATTTGCACCTTTGCCGAGCAACATCATCGCGATGGATATCTCACTCCGGTGAACGGCGCGATAGAGTGGTGATTCACCGTTAGGATTGGCCTCATTAGGATTTACTCCGTGCCCAAGCAGTAATGAGACTAGCTGGGCGTTCCCTAGATAGACCGCGCGATATAAACATGTCTCTCCCGTAGGGCTCGTGCTTTTGGGACTTGCGCCATAGCAGAGCAGCAGTGCACAAATTGTTACATCGCCCTTATAGACTGCCCGGTATAGCATCATTTCGCCCTTGTGATTTTTAACATCGGTTTTGGCGCCATGAGCTAATAGAAGTGAGGTAACTGCTGTGTTGCCGTTGCAGACTGCTCGATAAAGGGCTGAATCTCCAGAGGCATTGACAGCATTGACGTCAGCTCCAACACTCAGCAAAAGGCTGATAACGAAAGGGTCTCCTCGTGAGGCTGCTTGAGATAAAGGGCTATCTCCGGACTTGTTTGGAATGTTGACGTCGACACCGCAATCCAACAGTTTATTTATCATTGTACTATTGCCATGGGAGACTGCCAGATTCAGCATGGTCTCCCCTTTTGGAGGTCGTTTGTTGGTGTCTGCGCCGCGCTTCAGCAGTATTTCGGCGATAGAGGTATTGCCTTTGGATATAGCCGTATAGACCGGAGTTTCGCCTTTAAGATTTTCTGAATTGACGTCGACACCATCTCTTGCTAGGAGAAGGGTGACAATGGACGAGTGACCTTGACTAACAGCGACCGATAGAGGGGTTTCTCCTTTTGTATTTTTTGCTTTAGGGTTCGCTCCATATTCAAGCAGAGTTTTGACCATGGAAGTATTCCCCGTCGCAACGAAACGATTGAGCGGTGTATCCCCGTCCTTGTTTCTCTGGTTAGGGCCGACGCCATTACTCAGTAATAATTTGATCATGGAAGAATCATGCCTGCTAATTGCGAGGTCAAGCATCGTAACTTTTCCGACTGGCCTTGCATGAACATTGGCACCAGCCTCCAGTAGAGCCGTGGAATTTTTTGTCTGACCGCGAGCCACGGCAAGATATAGAGGGGTTTCTCCTACTGAAGTAACTTCTTCAAGTCCCACAGTCGACTTGTCGATTAGCGTCTTGAGAATACTTGAATGATCGCATAGTACTGCGATTTGAAGAGGGCTATTTGCTCCCGGAGGGCGAGCTTGGGGATCGGCGTTATGTTCCAAGAGTAATTTTACGATCGACTTTTCTCCTTGAGAGATTGCACGATAGAGTGCGGTCTCACCTTTTCTATTTCTTGCATCAATGTTCTGTAGACTGTGCTCGAGGAGGCGACGGACTTCCGATTCTTTACCTCTTGCAACCGCTTTGTGAAGAGGGGTCTCCTCTCCTTGCTGTTGTGGAGACGGTATCTCTTGGGCGCTAGGCTGAGAGGGTAGTCTCACAGGAAGTAATGAATCTTCGGGGAACAGAAGGGTGATTTTTAGGCCACGAGGCTCAAAAAAGCCGGTGTTCCACTGTCCAACGACACTTTCAATTCTGATTCTTCGCAAACGGGTAGAGTTCGCAGCAGGTCCGCTCTCAGACGCAAACCTCTTTTTTGGTGGAAGAGATAGCCTATCAACCAGTTCTGTAAGCTCCTCTGGTCTTGATTTTGCATTCTCGAAGCTGCTTGGTGGGAATTGCTGCATTCTGGCTGTGGGGTTCGGGCCGGTCGATCGGTTTGAGCCAAACGAGCCATCCCCGTGTGAGGGAGGAAATAGATGATTCACAAAAGTCATCCAATCATGGTCGTCAACTTCTCGCAGCTGGAATAGAGAGTTGCGTAGAGGGTTTGGCGTTGTCTCCGGACTGGCATCTGAATTGACTACGATGGTATGGACAAAGAAGTCACGCGGCTGTGGACGACTGGGAGGACGAAGCGCAAAGTAAGGTGTTGCCGAGATGAATCCGGATTGTTCAACTTCTTGAGCACTGATATCGCGCACACTGAATGCTTGAGTGGGGATCGCTATGCTTTGCAAGACTGGCGGTTGCGAATCGATAGTAGTAGCTGGTTCGTAAACTGGGGCACCAATTAATCGTATATTTGGGCTAAGGTCGTGAACATAATAAGGCGGTGGTGATTCATCCATTTTGTGTCAAGAATAAGGGGCCGGTTAAGTCTCCACAAGAAGCTCTACGTGAAGTTGTCAAGGTCGGCGATGATGGAGATATATGCGGAAGCTCCTGCCAGCCGATCAGGCTATGAGCTAGGCACCGATGATTCCAGTCGAATTTCTAGGCAACACCGTTCTGCGATCGCGGCAGGCCTATAGATCCACTTTAATCCGGATTTCCTCCCTCGTAAAACTGATTATCCGATATTTTCAAGGGACAAAGAGGCAATTTTGTCGTGTCTCTGTCACCTTGAGGAACCCTTGGCTAGAGGGTGAGAACTCACCGCCTATTTTCGAATGTCGTGAACTAGCGGCTAAGGCTAGAGAGCTGGAAGAGACGGAAAGGGAAAGTAGACCGCAGCTAAGATATATTATATCACGTGACTCATAACCACTCCCGGTAACTCTCGGCTATTCTTATCCTGCCGAGATTAGCCACCCAGCCACCTAAAAACCAGTCCACGCTTCTTTGGGCTATTACTCAGTACTGGGTACTTTCTCTAATAATTCGTAGTAACCATGGTAAAGATTTTATCCTGCCTATTGCACTAGGAGGAAATAGTAATAGTTTAGAATGCGAATACCCTACATTGCGCCACTTTGCTTGCGACGTATTTACGAAACCCGTTTAATCCCGGTCAGAAGTAAGAAATTCTAGTTCCATGTCGGAAAGAGCTCTCGAATTCATGACTTGGTAGACAGAGTCGGTAATCTGTGACCCCTAAATCCGCTCATCACAAGATTTTGCAGTCTAATACAGTTCCGACCATTTCGAAGGCAAAAGCAGAACAATATATTGCTGTTAACTAAGAGCAGCGCTAAAGTCGCTATTGTACTGCGGCCAGCCCTTTGATTCAAAGTCCCCAGTACCTAACCAAAACAAGAGATCTGCTCGATGCCGCTAGGTCAAGGCACCCCTTCGGCCGGCCGGCAGTTCTAGGACGCCAAGTCTAGATTTCTCAGTACAACTCATGTTTATTTCTCGTCATTACCATCGGGAGATATGACAATTATTGCCCTACAGTCACTTTCATTCCTCTACATCGCCCATACGGTCGTATACATTTAACAAGACGCCGTATACTTCCCCATGGCCCTCTCTGGATATACCTAAATGCAACATCTTGTCCTATCTCTTCCCCCTGGATACGGCTCCATCCCAAAACCCAATATGGATCGACTTAAATCAACAATCGCAAAGCTTATCTCCAGCAAAAAGGTTGTCCCTGATCAAGAGATTTGCTGTGGGCTTAGACCAACTAGGAGCCGCGCAGCATGAAGCGGTCATGGAGTTCACGCCTAATCACCTCTTCATTCCTTCTGTATAATTGGCAGCGGCGGGATCTCAACGATATTTCACGGGTGCAAATCCCGGATACACAGCTGACAAAGTCGCATATCAGATGAATTCGGTCGAGGCTACAGTTGTTCTTGTTCATGACTCTCTTCTTGGGACAGGAATAGCTGCTCCGAAGGCAGCTGGTGTCTCCCTCGACCGCCTATTCGTCTTTTCTGAGTTAGAGTTGACCACAACCTTGACTCGGGGATTACGCAATTAGAGATCAATCCTCGCCCCTCAAAAAGATGTAGAGTCATGGCAATGGAATTCTTTACAGAGTGAGCTTGCGGTGCAAACCGTTACGGTAATCAATTTTTCAAGCGGCAACACAGGTCTTCCAAAATGCGTTTGTATCACAAACCACAATCTGGTTGCCAAAACCGCCCAGGCAATATTCAATCAATATCAAGGCATGGGGTATTCCCCTAAAAACCCAGACCATGCTGAGCGGTGGCTGGCCTTTTTACCTCTCTACCGTGCATGCTCTCAGCTTTTCACAATCAAAGTGGCCTGCAAACTTCGGATCCCACTGTATATTATGCCGAAATTCACATTCGAGGATTTCCTGAGGTCTATCGATCGCTTCAAGATCAGAGCGATACAGGCGGTCCCCCCAGTTCTAGTCATGATGGCGAAACGGCCTGAGACAGCCAAATACAACATCAGCAGTCTAAGGCACATCTTGTGCGGAGCAGCGCCATTATCGAGCATCCAGACGTGGCCGACGCTGCTGCGACGGGGATCACTGTGCACGGCGAAGAGTTGCCTAGAGCATACGTTGTATTGAGAGAAAGTTCTCAGATAATGGCTGCCGAACTCTCAGGTTTTGTCGCTGGGAAGGTGGCCAAACACAAGTGCCTGGCAGAGTGGGATCGAATTCATCGACTAAGTTCCCAAAGTCGCCAGCGGGAAGATCGCGAGGAAGATGGCCAAGGCATGGGCAAACGGGACGCTGAAAAGGTCGAAAAGACTGTCAAAGTAAAGCTCTAAAGATTCGCTGGTGTAATTGCGACGGGTTCAACCAAATGGTTAGCTCATGCTGAACCCACTTGGATAGAAGCAATAGCGCCACTCCATCTATATTCTCATGACATCTGGATTTCCCTGCGTCCATGCTGGCGCAATCACTAGGCTCTTAATCCTCCATAACTCCCCTTCCCTTACAACACTGCACTTAAACTGGTTGCCAAATAGATAATAGTCCTGAAACTCCGGATTCAGGCCTTCGCCTTTGCGGAAGTGCTGCGCTAGCACACAGCACGTCAGCCCCGCAGTGTCGCCCTGCACTGTGCAGCGGATGTTCGTCGCGCTGTGCGTCGTGTCTAGCGCCGTTCCGACGGTTGTCATTAGCCGATCGACGACTATCTTGCGCCCATGTACGACTTCGTAGTTCATTCCGACCATTTTAAACGGTGTGAGGTCCATGATTGCGTCAGCGGTCAGGGATGAAGCTGAGAGGTCGGTGTCGCCTTCGTCGAGAGCACAGACGAAGCGGATCACGGAGTCGATCGCAGCTTCGCGGTCAGTTAGACCGCCAGCGTTCGGCATATTGATAACGATTGGTTGAAATTGCTGAGGTATAGAGTGCTGAAGAGGTTTAGTGATAGCAGTGAGGGAATCTATTCTGTAGTGGCCGAGGAGCCAGAGGCAAGGGTTGAGAAAACTCCTATCGTGTCTGGGAACTTGTAGTGAGATAACTCCTCACACGACCTACCTTCGAAGCCTCTCTTGAGATGACTCCTGCCTTTTTGAACAGAAATTCGGACCATGCACTAGATGTAGATCCGGATGCTATCAATTTGCTGCTCGAATTGAACAAAGTTCGATGCCAATGGCCCCGCTTTTCCTTGACAGATGGACATAAAACGGAGACGTTGGGGTTTTACAGACACGGATTCACGGAGAGGCTACGCGGACAGGATTGTCGAAATCAGTTGCTAATGGGGTGAATGGCCTTTCCCCAGGCTAGCAAGCTAGAATACGTTTTTCTGTGGTCTTCCGTGCAGCGAACGGTTTATATCGTCTAGGCAAGGTGCACAATGTGGATGCTTCACATGTCACGAATGCGTCAACAAATTCCACCGGGGTAACAAAAAAGTAGACGTTTCCATGGCCAGGCATGGTCACCGAGGTATTAGTGTCTTAATTCATGCTGTTTCCTCAATTTTAAGAGATCTCAGCTACCCTGAAGACTCAAGGTGGATTTATTATCTAGCTATGTTTGATCGGTTGTGCTATGGATCAGTCTGCTTTGGTCTCAACTCTAAAAACGAGTCCCTGAATTCAAATCTCAAAGAACTGACATGGGATCATGCAAAGCCATCGAAACGGAGTATGATAGCGAGTTCGTAGTTCTTGACATAGTGCTCCTAGAATTACTGTCCTTCAATATCGATTGCTTGGAAGTTTCCATTAGCGTTGCTAGGAAATTTGAAGGTTCAGGAGATCTGAGGAAACTTACCTCCGGATAAGCTGGGATGGCCCAGCTAGATGCCTCCAAATGCTGAAACATTTGTGGACCAAGCGGAGATGTAGCACAGAAACTTGTTTCTGGATCTTCCGGTATTGCCGAAAGGACCTCCAGATGTGACCCTTCGGCCAATGGATCTGGTCTACCTAGAATGGGGGCCTTGGATGGTATACGTACCCTGAGGAAGACATGAAAATCCTTGCAGTAGACGTTTACCGTGCCGGATATCTGAGCTCGCTCTAGTGAAAGAGGAAGGTCTGTCAGAAGCAGCCGCAAGTACGCCAGGTGAGCTGGTGTGGTGAGGACATATGGGATTGGATCCCAAGGCATTTGACTTTGTGAGAGACATTGATTGCCCTGTTGGTATGGGTTGGAGATCTTGGGCAGAACAATTGCGGGCTTCGGCTTCGAACTTTTTCACAAGCATTTGTAAAACGTCGGCAGCTTTGTACGCTTCCATCCTTTGATCACCCATCTGGCTAAAGATCCACGCACTCAGGCCCAATCCCTTGATCATTTCGGTCCTCGTGGGTACGCCACTGGAAAGCTGCTGGCTTATAGGGTCGTCGACTGCGCTACTGGAACATAAATCTGCAGCGATGATTGCTGCAGCGAGAAGGTAGTGATGTATTGTCAGCGACGTCTGGTAGTTTGCCAAACTTCGCAAGCGACTATAAACAGGAATTTCCTGGTTCTGGATGGCCTGGAAGCGCAGTATCGACATGGCCGAACCTAGACAGACTCACCGCGAATAGACAAATCGAGAATCTGATTTTGCAATCTCGAGGAATCGACTGTGGACGATGCAGAGGGATATGTGATGGATACTCGATAACACAAACCGGGCTGACACAAGTACAAGAGAATCCTGCACAGATAGCAGGCCGAGCTTATAATGATCAGGTGCACTATCATAGATGCGCCGAAGCTCCCGATCGATCTCAAGCACCCGTTCGCAAGGAATAGTGGCAGAGCGATTCATTTCCTCCAAAGCACGAGTAAATCCAAATGCTAGCTTAGATTCCGCAATCAAGTAAGATATTTGAGTTGGCTCCGAGTCAGACAGGGCCGGTGGGAGCGTAGTGCAATCCTCCCCAAAATACTCGTCGTCATGGATATTCCTGGGAAGATCCTGAGGACCTTCCAGTGACCGGATTCTGATCATAGAAGGGAGGCCTAGCTGGAAAGACAAAAAGATATCATATTGTCTGATGAAGGCCCATACAAGACGACGCATCTCGGCCTACTAGGCGGTCAGAGAATGCGTCGATATGTAGCGGAAAGCTCGTTTACCTGAAAGGGAGTGTGGGTCAATGTTGGTTGCAGTGGCTGATGATAGCCCATCCTCATTGCTAGCCGCACAATCATGCCAACTAGAACCCAAATACTTGACTTCGAATCCCTGCTTGCAACATACTCTCCATAGAGGTGGAAGCATAACGTTTCGACCAAGAAATCTTGGGTTTGGGTATAATCTACGAGAATCAAGCAATCTGTAAACCGATTGAGAAAATTAGTGGCGAGGTCCTGACACTTTCCTCGAAACTCCAGGGGTTCATCGTTCTCTCGCAAGTAGTCAAGCATGGCAACCCTTAGCATAGCGAATAGAAGAGCAGCCCAGGCAGGCGGGGTAGTGCTTTGGTCGATCTAGAAGTGTTGGTATTGGTTAGTTAGAAACATTTTGGTAAGCGATTAAGAATATCAAGGGCTTTCAATTACCTGTTTGCAGAATGTCGGTTCGTGAAGGATGTCTAAACAAATTAGTTTAAAAATAGCAAGATGCCTGCGAAGGAGGACGACGCACGCATTGCAGGATATAGATGGGAAAAGAATCTGGCGACCATGGTGTCGCAGCTGTATCTGGATGGTAGCTGTGAAATGATTTCCGAGCGGCTCACCGTCTTCGCGGGCCCAAATAGAACACTTGGGCCACGATCATCGCTGGGTCGTCGCAGGATCTGGGATACCTTCTGGGTCTGGTCCTCGTACCGGTTATGCTGTGCTCACAAATACGATCGTACCGCACCAATCTATTTAACGTGTTAGCCTTCTGTGGAGAAAACTGACCTCATACTGCTGACCTCGTTAAGCAACAACGCCCAAAGTGCCACATTGACAGAAAGCACCTGCTTGTAGTCGGCACTTATACTAATCGCGGTATCCGGTGTCGGTAAACGGATTAGCATCTGATTCTCGGTTGGCGCAGTTTCTGCTAGGTTCTCGCTACCATGACTGTCTATGTTGACTTCCTCGTTGCTTAGATTGTTTTCTCCGTCAGCGAAACTTGACGGGGTATCGGCCTGACCCCATCAAGGTTGCTGGTTCTTCAACAGCGTGAGTACAAGACTCTCAAGGTGGTCAAGCCTCGCCTGAGCAGGGGCTGATGGGTCAGGGGCTAGCAGGCCTGAAGAATCCTGCAGACTTGTGTCCGACTCAGGTCTCCTCGCAACGTAGCAGCAGGAAGTGATGTCTCGTCTGTTGATGCAATTTCCGCGTACAGGCACAGCACGGTCGCATCTCAGTCTGACTAGGCATCAACAGATAGAGCTCAGGGTAATTTTGGCAGAGTAGCTTACTTGCGCTTGCGACATGGAAAGCATGATATTGGCCTCCTATTTCTCATATTTCGCGTAGCAGCGCGATCGCTGTGTTTAGGTGGATGACCAGAAATTGTCATGGCGTAAATCCACCAAACTCCTTACAAGAGACGTACTATGTTGTTTTGTTTTAATGCTGTGGTGCCATAGATAGACTGACCATGATTCAGAGCCTCTCTGCAAGTGGTGTCGTGGGGGAGGTGCATATCTCTGGGGTAATGAAGAAAAAAATAGAGGGCGGGGATAACGCAAACACTTCGCACACCCTGCGGGGTAATACCTTCTCGAGCAGATCCGCCACGGAGATCGCGGATACCAAGGCCGGACTTACCAGATGTCTTCCTGAGCCCAATCGGAAAACAAGCCGTGTATCTAGTATCTCTGGATTGTGCAGTAACATGACCGCGGTTCTGGAAAAGGCCATAAAAGGCGTAATATTTGAACTTGCTGTAATGGCGAGAGGGGAGACAGATGAAACAGATGAGCAAATCCAATATGCACCGGATAAACAACGATGACTTCGAAATCGGATCAACGCAACACGCCGCGTGTAGTGAGGTTTCTGTCCGATGGGGTCATGATACGGGGCATTTTGCGCTTTCCTGACCGCAATAGTCCTCACCCCACCGTCATTCTAGGTCATAGTCTCGGAGGACTGAAGGAGTAGACGCTTCCTGAAGTTGCGGATGCTCTGATCGAAGCCGGTATTGCAGCAATGTGGTTCGACTTTCTGAATACAGGCGACAGCGAAGGACAACCACGCGACGAAGTAGCTCATTATGGTCGACTCCAGGACTGGGTGAATGCCATCGCTTCCACGACAAGCCTGTCAGAGGTTGATGCCCAGCGCGTGGGCATCTGGGGAACAAGTCTGGGAGGCCGAGATGTTCTGGTTGTGGCGGGCATAGAACGGCGACTCAAGGCAGTGGTGTCCCAAACACCCCTCATCCGGTGGACTGCTGCAGCAGGTGCTCGCATGGCTGGTTACGGCGATGACATGCGGCGATATCAGCAAGACCTAGCTGCCGACCGCGAGAGCCGGGCATTGGGAAAAGAGCCGGCCTACGTCACCTTCGTGAAGCCGTCCGGCGACGAGGCCAAACAGGCATTATATTGACTCGCTGACGGACGCTGAGCTGGGTAATTACCATGGCCAAATCACGCTGCAGAGCTACCAACCGACAGCCCTAGTCGATGTGACACCGCTGATGGAGTTGATTTCTCCCACTCCTCTACTATTTATCCTCGCGGAAGAAGATTATCTGCCTGGGCAACGAGACGCGTTCGCCGCCGCCAACGAGCCAAAGTCGATGGTGACCATTTCGGGCAACCATTTCTCCCCCTACACGATATCGAAACAAAACGCTATCGAAGCAACCAGAGAGTAGTTTGTTAAGTACTTGACTCCCATTAGGTAGACAATAACCGGCTACTTAGAAACCGCATGTGAAATACCCAATATTGGACTAGCCCAATTTAGCCCTAGAGTGGAACTCTTGGCGCTGCGGCAACCTATTACTCTAATATCTCGGTATTTTTGTCCAAATATTAATGGTGTTGACAGGGTCGCGAGATCGCCACTGTAGCAAACCACCTGAGACGCTAGGCGTTTCACCAACTGCGGAATCTACCTCAACCTCGTTGTTCTCGCAGACCTGTGATAAGATTGCGACGGAACAGGAGGTTTCAGGAATGGCCTTCAGATCACAGGCCAAAGTGTATATAAACAGGCAGAGTCTCTCTGAATAGCCAGGGGGACAGAACACAATTAAGCAGATAGATCCACAACTGTTCTGTATACAACAGGCCGCTAGCTATCTTGCACCTTGCCCGCACCAAATTTTACTTTCCATTTTGTACTTCAATGTTCACCAAGCCGGTGCTGCCCGGCTTCGCTGATTTTGTACCATTATCATTCGGCATGTTCATACTCTTGACGAATGTTGGGAACAGCTCCCTTATCACTAATCCGCACGGTCTCCTCTGGAGCCCCTGCATCTCCTAGAGTCGTATGGATGTTTCTGTCGCCAAAGACAACGCCGATTTCATCAAGAGATTTGCCTTTGGTCTCGGGGCAAAAGAAAGATAACCCCGGGATGCATACCACGAGACACAAAAGGTAGATGAGAATCAATCTGACGCATCCGTTAGCTCAAGTAGAATTGTGAATTAGAGATCGGTGTTAAATTCTCACTTCAAACCGATGTGGGTGAATGCAGTGGGAGCACTGTCCAATTGAATCACCAGCGCAGAAAAATATGCTGTAATTCCGATAGACATCCCTTTCCCGCGGATATTATTTGGGAAGATCTCAGAGGTATAGACACTTTCACCACGGTTAGCTTTGGGGTTTGACAATTTCCTAGCTCGTCCCCAGCAGTAGCTCACTAGGTGGTAACATCCACAAAGCCGGCATACATGGCAATATGCAGGTAGAGGAAGACAATAGCGGAAATAGCCGCCCCACGAGCTCCAGTTCGGTCGAATATCGCAATTAAAACAATTAGACCGATCATGGCACCGGCGTCTCCAATCCAGCCGCATTTTAAGGAAAATACTCTTCCATCCGATCAACCGTAAAGGCACAGAAAGTGTTGCCGATGATCGTGATGTTGGCCCACATTTCTGTGAGAAGAAGCTGCATGACTGTTCCGTAGCCGAGACTTGCATAGAGAACTGGATTGTAAACTGTTCATGTCAATGAAGTATTATATACTATTCTCTTGCGGGGCTTACCCGAAGCAAGCAGGGTGGCAGTCATTTGGCTTTCAAACATGATGAAGAACCCTACCATAGACCGTCTACGATAGGATGGGATAGCCCACATGTGTGCCCATGTCACCTTATTTTTCTCGTCTTCGTCGTGCTGCACTCTGATCTGGAGATACTCTCTGTAGGCAAAAGAATTGTCATAAACTTCCTTGCCATGGTGAAGCCTTTCCAAGATTTATAGCGCATCATCGTGTCGATTTTGGCTTATTACTAGAGATAGTAGGTTAGAAATCATCGGACACTCCCCAAGGATAGGACTAAAAGATGATATACTCACATCAACGAGGAGATTCGGGTATAAACCAAACGCCACAGGCAAGGATCAAGGTTGGTACATATTGGATGGCTAGAGGTATTCGCCACTGCGATCCCCCAGCATTCACAAAATAGAAACCAAAGCCTATCCAACTGTGAGATTTCGTTACCACCTTGCCGGTCGGAATACCTTCTTGTGTTGGGATAGGACTTACTCGCACAAGATAGTGCCCAGGGAAATGAAAATCCCGTGGAGACCCACTATCAGGCCGGGGGCTTGAGGAGACACTTCGCTCTGGAAAAGAGGGGTCACGGCAAATAATGATCCTGTTTAGCTTAGCCCTGCAATTTGGACACAATCTATTCAAAGTAATTCACTCACCAATTCCGAGACCCTCCACCAACCGAGCGGCAATGAACATGGCAATGTGGACAAACTCAACTTGTAGAGCTCCACCGAGAAGGGACAGAGCAGCGGAGATAAACACAGATATTCTGCGGCCCAAGATGTCGGAAGACTGTGATGAGAGAAGACCTCTTAACAAGGCCCCAGAGACGTACACTCCATTGACAGCGCTAGTTATCTAAGTTGCATTGGGGGCAGTGTCAAAACCAATGTAGACACTAGCAAGTAAGGTCAGTCAACGCACAGTTCAGAATGCGCCGTAAACAAGAGACATACATAAAGGATGGTTGGGCAAGTGTGGTCGCTGTGATGACAGTGACATAAGCACACGCTATTGAACCAAGGGACAAGAACAGTGCGACCCAGGTGCTGAACAGGCTTCGAGAATGATTACCCATCTTGTTGACTAAAAATAGAAAGCGAGAAGAAAATCAATGAGAGAGATATTCTGTAAGGGTATCGGCCTGGCAGGAGGATGATACTACTCGGTACTTGTGTAGAGGATATATTTCAATCCTATCGACCATTTTGATCAATGTAAGCCACCGCTGCCACATGGTCTCTTCTTATTCTGACAGGGTGGTGTCTATATTCTTGTGGAGATGTCTTAGTCTGGACTCTGGAGAACCGGGGTTTGCGGAGAATCTGAAGTTGGATAACTTCAGAATCCCGGAGGGCTCCGTTAGCTCATTTGCTATCACAAGTTATTAAATGGCCTATGTAGGTCCTCGCTCTAAAGCTTTTAACGGGGTAGAGGTGAGCCGACTCGATCGTCGCTCAGGGGGACTGGAAGGGTAAGGCGGAAGAGGATTCATCGTACGATATAATGTACAGTACCGAGACAGTGTTGTGGAGTAAAGTTGAGGCTGGTGTGCAAAAGACGGGTGCATTAGTTCGAATATCTCTAGCTAGACAGAATAATAGATTTATTTATCTACCGTAGTCCAAGACTTTACTCGCGGATTTCTGGACTATTACATGGTCTAAATTGTCTAATAGGTTCTAGCTCTCTATGGGTTTTATATACCTTTCGTTAAGTCCGCGCCAAGCATGTTGTCCACAATACGAATCGGAGATCGTGGAGGGAGTAAAAGTAAATAGAGACACTTCAGCGGCAAATCACCAGGTTCACCTAACAATGCTTGACTATACCCGCCTAAAACCCTACTTGCATGTCTACAAGAGGTCCAGAGACAGCTTGACAGCTGCCTCTCAGTCGGTGATGCCGAAGCTAACGAGCAGGAAACCGCATAGTGGGTTCAACACGGAATGACAGAAAAGGGCGCTGATAAGACAGGCTTGGACAGGGGAGATCAGAGATTGTGGGGGAAACGAACAAATCTTGTATCATATCCTGAAAATTCTTCCTAGCATTGGTGTGTTTCGGTAATCTTCCAGTTTTGCCCATTATAGGGTCCGCTCTTGAGTTGTTAGAGATAGGTTCCGTGCTACGGAGGGGGGCAACCTCGGGGGCTAGAGGGTCAAGTCTATGGACCTTGGTAGCAGGTTGTCTACTTAGCTATCCATCTTTTTCTGTGATTGAGGTCATCATTCTGGGACCCTCAACATGAGTTGTCTCTTGTTTGGTGCCGACTTGCACTCCCGTTGCTTCTGTGGCTACCCTGTGCAGCAGCTCTTCGCCGGTTCCCTCCACTGTATTGCCCGTATGCACGTCGACAACGAGATCATGTGTACGATGATCGACATGGATATCTTCCGAGTATACCATAACTTCCTCCGTGTCTCCAAAGACAGCGGCGATTTCTTCGAGGGGTACTCCTTTGGTTTCTGGTAGCAGTATGAAGGCGGCGATGCCTCCAAGGCCTGAAATAATGATAAAGACGAGGAAGAATTTCCAACCAATGTTGGCAAATGCGGTTGCGGTGACTTGGAGGTAGACGAGATCGGTAAGGGCAACAGCGGCAATGGACATTGCCACGCCTTTTGCTCGAAGATGATTAGGGAAGATCTCACTGTAGAATACCACACCGGCGACGTCGATACCGCATCCGTAGAATAGGAGAAATATGTAAAACATGGCGACACCAGCCCTCAGTGCAGGAAGGTTAGGCGTTTCAGGAATTGGAGTAGCGAAAGTGGCAATGAGAGCGGCCTCCACGATCAAGCAAGCACAGCAGCCGAAGACGCCAGTAAGCATGAGAACCCTGCGGCCGACCCGGTCCATAATCACTGCACCTATGGCTAGCAGTTAGACTAGAATTGGACTTTATCGACACCGTTTTCTTTCTTACCAAGAAGATTGGCAGGCGTGCCCATCGTTATCCATCCGCACTGGAGCTTCAACTGATCCAGGGTTCCATACCCGAGAGCAGCATACAACGTTGGGCCATAGTTATTGATGACCAGGACCGCCGTGGACTGTCCGATAAAAGCAAAACCGCAGGCCAGAATAGTTCGCTTCCTGTATGATTTCTTAAAGAACATGGCCCGGTAGGTGGGCGAGAGGGATCTGTCGAACTCGGCCTGTTTTTGCATCTGGTAGAACTCGCCGCGGGCGTATTCCTGGTCTGGATCGCCGGGCATCTGATGCAAATCCATGACGATCTTCCTAGCCTCCTCGACTCTGCCTTTCATCAACAGATATCGTGGAGACTCAGGAGCCCATATAATAACAAGGAGCTGAAGAGCTGGAAAAATGAGCGCAAGACCAAGGGGCCCTCGCCATTGCGCCGCCGGGTCGTTTTGAACGTAATAGAAAGCCAGACCCATATAAGAGGCAAGTGAGTAACCTATCGTAATACCCATGCCGTTCATGCCTACGAAGAATCCTCGCAACTTGGGTGGTGCTAACTCAGCTGTGTAGACTGGAGCTGGGAAAGAGTCAGCATCTCACACAGCCAGCTGCGGATAGGCGTGGTAGGTGACGCACTGAGCGCAAGGAAACCCCAAGATCCAGCTCCGGCAATCAAGCGAAATATAATGAACATAGTAGTGTTGACAGACCCAGTCAGGCCGGCGCCGCCAATTAGGCTCATGACAGCACAAAAGATCGTTCCTGCTTTACGGCCCCACCTGTCCATGATAAAGCTTCCGATGATGATGCCCAGAAAGGCTCCAGCCTATGAGAATTAGAATGTTCATGCTTGCCAATGCTTAAGTTCCCACCTGGAAGACACCAGACATGGCACCGATCAGAGAGTCGGCGTTGTGGGCCATCTCCCCGGTTTCTGGATCAAGGAGTTTCATATATATCAGGAATGATGGCTGTGCGAGAGTGACACCGATTATTGACGCTGGGTAGCCGAAAGCCAGCTGGCCGCAGCCAGCAATCGCGAAACAGATCAAGAAGTTTCGCCAGTTCCATTGTCGATCTTGCCCAAACCCTTTTCCTTTCCTGCCATCCGTGGCATATGTGGTGTTACGGATCGCCATCGTGGTGGTCTTGGAAACAGCCACAAGACCTGCAACGGTGGTCTTGGAAATAACCACAAGACCTGCATCACGAAATCGAAGGGGGTACTAAAGGAAGCTGGGCGAGGCCACCCCGCATGAACCATTACCTCGGGCCTTGGTTGACCTAGCACTTGCCCCAGCCAGCCGAAAGACTTTCAAGAAAGGAGCCGAAGCAGCGTATACTTGCCCATTTAAGTAAACCGAAACACGCGGCCTGAGTATGGTTTCTCAATGCCCCACATGCGGTTCATACCCGCACTTCGCTCGGAATTAATTGTTATCTCCACGTCCATTCGCGGGGACCAGTTACCTAAGGCGGAATACTGGGTACATCTAGCAGAACACCTCAAGACACCTATATCACATAATCATGGGTCCTGAGAACACAAACCGATCAGTTCATTGCCTTTCAGAGCGACAGTTCGTTCAAGGGTCGACCGTTGGTCCGACCTGTTCACAAAGTGAACGGTATCAATCTATATCGTGCACGTTAGCTACCCTCCTAAGCTTTCGGCCAAGTTAGCAGATGTGTTCGGCCGAAAATGGAGCAATCTCAATCGCCGCTATGACTTTGGCAAACGCAACCTCTACTAACACATCTAGCATAACGATATTTCCTGTTTAAGCTCCAATTGTGCTAGAGCATTTGCATAACCGAATCGGTGGGACCGATGACAACTTCTCGCAGACTCGCCAGAAAAAGTCTACAAAATCTGCATTTACTGCTTCGAAGCTCCAAAGCGACACGGGCCATTACCGAATGAAGTCTCCTAACAGGGGTTCTAGTAGAGTACCTGGTGATATCTGTATGAGGTTTAGCCCTGATGGCTAGCAGATATAGCCGTTGCCCGTTCTGCCCGGCTTTTGGAGATGCTAGTGAAAGCGATTGAATTATTGAGGCCACTCTGAATAAGAATCCCTCATCCTGATTGCCATAAGCTTGGGTACGCGCCACAAAGGCGTATTCGGCAGACTCCAACCGCCGATATGGGTAACACCGACAAAGTACCACAGCTGACTAGGACCGGCTAAGTCTCGTCGCCAGTGGAAAAAGTAAATCAGCTTTTTCAATAAGGTTCTGACTGCCATTGAAAATGGTAGGATATCCTGCTTAATTAGGAACAAAACATGGCCAGAGTCGACGAGATCCTGAAACATGGTGTACACGTGACGTATTATTGTGAGAGTATTGGAGGGCGCAGGAACATCCAAAAATACGCCCAACAACAACTTCCTGCAATCGAGAATAAGATCTAGTCTACCTTCTGCAAGGTCAGGAAGCTCATATGATATTCTTGGCACGTCTTTACCACCTAACATACCATAATGAGCCGTTAAATTTAATAATGACCTTCTCTTTGTGAAAAGGACAGCTTTATAGTGCTTTCATGTCGCTGATTTGATTTGAAGAACAAAGTCTGGAACAGACTCGATACTCCCAAGCATTGACCTTAGTATGCATCCTTTCTTATTGAGCTAGCAGCTCACAGTACTGTATCTATAGCTCCGCCGCCAAGACACATTTCTAATGGATCCATGAGGCTGCCTCATTAGAGTCTCAAATTACTGTCTTCAAGTACTATTCATGTGCTTGCAACGCGGTAGATCGTTCGGGGATCTTATGGGGTCTTCATTTTCGAATGTGCCGCAGCTTAACTTCGAGGACACGGAGAGTATATCGGTTTCTGCATCGTCGTCTCCGAGTGAGGTGTAACGTTGTCCGCAAATCGATAGATCTTGCTCATAATTATCACCTAGGCGCTCTCCTCAGTCTCGTCTTCTTGGTTGTCGCCAATTTTGCGCGTAGTTTAGAGTCTCGCACCTGCGACGGAGTGAATTTTATCGTACGAATCTGTCGTTCAGCCGCGTTGGAGGCTTAGTGGCCTTCGTTGGCTGTGGCGCCTATTAAGTTCAGAGAGACTAGGACTCAACATCTGGAGTGGAAGCCAATCGTCTCGAGGAAAGTGTTTCCACAACAATAGGAGAGGTTTGACACCGGCAAACTTGATTGTGAAAGACGATTAACGATAGCGCAGGTAAACTGAGGCCATTGATCGGATTCCTGGCCTTCTCAGATTTTTTGTTGCTTCCCTCTTCGTCCTTGCGTCTGTCTATCGGGGGAGAGCAACTAATCGGGTTTGCACAGATCTGTCCTCTGCCTTTAAGCCGTCCCCTTTCGCTTGATGGCCTTCCCGATCTTCGCAAAACTCTCGAGAAGGTCAACATCATGTTGGAAGTGATATTGAAGGGCCAGATTGCATTATCTAAATCCCGTATTCTCTCTTTTTCTTGTGTCTGTCTTTTGTTTCCTTCTTGGAAATCCAGACTCCACCCTAGGCCGGCTAGCGCTGAGCTCTGTCACTGTCCAAAAAGGCTTCCAGAATGCTGTCCACATTCCACACCGCGGCCATGACCCCAGGTTCGGTGTGTTTAGCGTGCAGGGTGATGCATTCTCTAGACTCAACTTCTGCTCCACAGCATCCTTCCTCAACTACACGATGTGCACTTCAACAAACAACAGATGGACGCTCCTCTAGCACATAGTATGAAACGTCCCAGAGAATGTCTTGAGACTGTCCAACTCCGTTGTTCAGCACTCAAGTTGACATTGGGTTTCGTGTCAGCGAACGTTGGCAACGTTTTGGGTAGTGAGGCTGCATGACTCTAGCTCCAACGCAACGATCTTAGGTCCGAAGATCGATAAAATCAGGTAAACACGCCGCGCCAGGGACGACAGGATCTCTAGGAAACGACCGCGTTTCCTTCGCTAGTTGATCTTCTTTCTCACCCTTCATTTTCCAGCAATGTGAAGAGCGTGATTCTGACTGTTGATCGATGGAAGGGTATGGGCAGGTTCGGGTTGGTAAGGAGTGTAATCATCGCACGGCCTAACGAGGTCAGTATTCGGGAGGTTTACGACGAAGGGCGAGCAAAATCCTAAGAGCTGTGAGAGTGAGCCGCGGAACGTAGGTATGCTCGGAAAATGAGAGCAATCTGGCTCATCAAAGGTTAACAACCATACCAGACACTCTCGCATCACAATCGCGTAGCAATGAATGATTAATAAAGTCTCAATTCGCGGGTAACCCTGGCGCATCTTCGATGTCGCGATGTGAAGTTAGAAGGATGCGTTGATGGTCTGCCGAGAGAGAAGCTCGGGATAAAACTACTGGAGTGTCGTAGCCAAGGCAGAACCCAAACATTAAACATCAAACGAACTTCAACACATTTAGCGGATTCGGTTCTACTATCTCGCATACGCCACCTGCTGTTCAGTGTGAATGAAACTTTTAATTAACTCGGGATCATGAACACGAGTTATTCCAGCTCCGCTGTAACGTCAAGGAGGGAGGAGACGCTGTATGATAAGGATGATTGTGGTAACGTGGGGGTCTTATATTAAGTAGGTATCGTAGAGTGTAAAAAGTTTAAATACACCACGTGACGCTAAGATAACCATATTCTAAGCTAAGCCTAATATAGTAGAGTCGTAGTGTCTTAGATTTTAGGACTATCTAATTAGGTAATACTAGTGACTCCTTTTACGCGTATAATAAGTCGTATTCTAGTATAAACAATAGTAATTCTTATAGTATTATTCTTCACTAATTCTATCTCGAGATGCCACCTCGCCGTGAAATAGATCCTTAATTACGCTCTAGAATCTATGAGCTTCGCAGTCTAGGCTATTTCTATTAATCTATTACGACAAAACACTAAATAAATTGATCTACGGTTATGTTACGAATTCGGCTAAACATCGGAAGGACGGACGCCTAACATAATCAGGCCACCAGCCAAGAGATGCGACTCGAGGAGTGCATCCTTATTACTAGCACACTCCCCGCATAGGAGGCGCACTCTTTCCTCTCTTACGCTTTGAGTCGTGTACAGTATCGACCATATACTATAGGGGTATCTTAAATATACGCTTATCGTTAGATTCTACCTACTTGCCAAGGAATCCCTAACATAACTTTATTAAAATTCGCTTCCTTCAATACTAGTATCTTCTTCGAGAAATGAATAAGCGAAAATGGCAATAAAAGAAAAGATCTATAATTACATAAGAATATACATAAAAAAGACTACAATAAGCATAAGAATATAGACATTTTACGTCCGATAATTAAAAACGCGTAAATAGTTAGATGAATATACCGTTAAGCGAGGACAAGGAGTTACAGCGGTTTAGATATTTATAAGACCTTTAGAGTAAATAAGATAAGGCGATGTACGAGAAATTCGAACCGGAAAGAGTGTTAAAAAGATGTTCTAGGCTACCTTTAGATATAATTGTCGTATAAGCCTTCTACCTTTAGACGGCGATTCTGAGAGCGCTCGAGGAGGTGTTACTAGTCGAGTGATTCGCGACGTTTACGAAGCCTTTTTACCCACCATTCTATAATCTAACGATATAATTATGTACGATAATGTTAGTACTTATATAGCGCGAGTTATCATAGTAATCCTTCGTTAAATGGGTATTACAGTTATGACCTAACCATCTTCATCGGCAAATTTTCCCGCGCGACCCTGAGAGCCCTGGGCTGCCCTGGGCTGTCAAGGTAAGTCTGCGTCTTACGCAGCCCATGAGACCGCTGGGCTCGCTGGGCTACTCTAAGAGAGCTCATGGGCTACTCTAAGAGGGCCCTGGGCTAATATAATAATTTATAACTTTACGAATATATAATTATA